CTATGGCGCGACAGTAGCAGCAGCGGGTAGACCATCTGTCAGGATCTAGCCACCACCATCCTCAGCGCACCATAGGCTCTCCCGCCAAGTACGTAACATACTACGGTCGTAAAACACTTGTATTGGTCTGAATCTTCAAAAGCTGTGTGTGGCAAGTCCTATACAAATCACAATAGGTTTCTGCGATCACACTTCCGAGCTGGACTTGCTCCTCACCGCTTTGGGCGTCAGTCCGTTAAGCCAGCTAGGGTCCCTCAAACAAGCCTCCGATTACTCCACTGCCTTATGGTTCAGGGTATCAAGTCAAAGGCTAGCGGTAGTGCACCTGGTAACTCAGTCGAGGACGTTAGTAGGTGTACCGAGCTTTTCGAGGCGTCAGAGTACTTAGGAGGCCGGTGTGCGCGTGGTGAAAACTTGCGTCCCCCGTCGGAAAAGTGCCTTAGGGCTTTCCGTGTGCGCGTTGACACGGAAGACAAACAACTGCCCAAGTACGAATGTCACGATTGACATTGCGTCAAACGAATTATGCGGTTCCGAGTTTCACCATGCACTAATGCCTGGATGAAAGAAGTCGTGCAATGTGGCGAACACGATCCGTCAAGACGCGCTTGGGACGATGACGCGACGCACCCAGAGATAAACCGTAAATTATGTTTCCGTCTTATGTCAGCGGAACGGTTCGTTTGTCTAGTGAGAGGGACCTACGTAGTAGATCAACATCGGGGCCATTGAGTTGCGCTGCGGCCATTTCTGCCACATCAATAGCAGTGCCGGCTTCAGCGGAGATCGCTTGGATTCGGGAAAGTGCGTCGGTGACAGCGTTGTGCACATCTGAGACGTCGTATATCGTTTGTAAACTAAGCGATATTGTCTAGGTGGCGCAACTAGGGGAGTATCGGTCGTTAGTCGGTAAAGTCATTGAAAGCACTGCCCTCTAAGATATGTCGGAAATGACGTATGCATAAATAAATGGCTAATAATTCTCCTACCAAACGTGCTGTAACGAGAGTCGGCAGAATTGCCAAGCGTCACCTATTTGTTGCTCTAAGACGGCACCAACTGCTACCTCCTAAGCGTTCGTACTGTGTGACAGTGGAGCTGTCGGGTCCTAGTGCGCTACAGAAAATATGTTGGCGATAGTTTCTTTCGAAGCTTGTACGAGCGACATGTGCTGCAGCAGGAAAATGAAATTTCTTAAGCATTTCTCGGATAAGCTCCGTGAGCGGTTGCATAAGCGAAGCGCAATTAGGAATGAAACGGCGATAAAAGTTGACTAGGCCATCGAAGCATCTTATTTTTTGCAAGGATGAAGCTCGGGATATTCGATAATGGTCTTAATTCTATCCTGTATTGCCACGACGCTTGCAGGAAACATATGATGGCTGCGAAAACTCACTGAGTCGACACCAAGCGAACAGTTTTCTGCTTGGATCGTCACCCCATGTTGAGATAAACGATTAAAGTGTTCGAACATGGTGTAGGTGCTCTTCTCTTGAAGATTTTTGCGATTATGATGTCCTCGAGATAAGTGTAAGTGAAATCTAAGCTGCGACAATATTGGTCGATGAAGCGCTGAAAATTTTGCGCGACATTCTTTAGAACAAATGGCATGCACAGGAATTTAAACAAACCAAATGGGGTTGTCACTGCAGTTTTGGCGCGTACCAAGTCGCTTTTTCTAAAAACCTCTTACCCGCCAAATTGGTGTTGAAATCCACCATGTGGGATCGGATAGCAATCTAGCTTGGTAACCGCATGTAAGGCACGATACTCGCTGAAAGGACGTCATTCTTTCAAGGTCTTTTTCGATACCATGAAAAGAGATGATACCGATGGACGGTTGGATGGTCTGGTGATACCGAACGGAACCATGTGGTCGAATTCAGCTCTTGCGGCACGTAGCTTGTCTGAGGCGAGCCATCTTGCTCGGGAATTCGTTGGCGGGCCACACGTGACTGTGTGATGAGTGATCTCTGTCTTGACTGGCGGAACATCTGCACCTGGTCGTACTAGTCGCCGGTATTCTGACAGTAGATTCGCAAAATCTCTAGGTAGGTCGACGATTCGTAACACGGGGCTGATAATCGGAACGTCTGGAGGAACGCCTTCAACTCCTAGTTTAGTGCGCTTGGCTAAAAACCTGTCTCGACCAGTATTACCAAGCAGTCCAAAATGGCGCGGGAAACCGATACCGATGGTTACGAAAGGTACAGACGCGACGAAGAAAATCCAGTGAAAATCTCGGCGGATTTTTATGTCTAGGCTCATCGTGCGCTGACCGTTTGAAGTTATCGTAGAACGGTTGGCCGCACGCAAGTTGTACATGAACTTTGATTGTGTGTCGTTCGCGTTCTCAGGGATGACACTGACTTCCGCTCCCTTGTCAATTAGAAGTGATGGAAGAACATCGATTCTCAATGTAAATCAGGCGATCTCTCTTGTTGTTGGCCATGCTAGTATGCGGAATACTCGCTTTACCTGAAGCAGCTGAATCGTGCCTAATGCAGGCAGTCCGACAACGTCTAGCTTTCCCATCATGTTATCGGTGCTACCAACATAATTCTTCGACGCGTTTGGTATTATCGGACTGAGAACGTGCAGATGAAATTTCACACTTCTGTGTCAAACGAGACGTACTTGGCGCAGCCACAGACTAGCCGCAACGAACAGTAGCCAACACGTGATCAGCGTCTGACGGAGGCATACGCTGCTTTAAAGCCTTCATTAGTGCTATCCTGCTACGAAGTAGTGCAGTTTCCGCGTCTTTAGGGTCGGTTCGGCTTGGAGCTTAGAATACGTCACCGATGCTACTGGTCACCTGTTGCAAAATACTTTCAAACACAGCATCTACTTTGGTAGCTAGTTCTTCCAGGGGTGTATCTAGAATTGTGGACAGCATTACCGGTTATGGCTCTGGGAGACGTGCAAGCCACAGTTCTTTTATCTCTTCTCTCAAGAATAAGGGACCAACATCGCGCTAAGTTTCGCGGAACAATGTCAGCTTGCGATCATCCAACTTTAGGCCACTAAGCTGCTGCAATGGATCCCGGTGCGCTAAGCTGTAACTCCCCTAAAATCGTCTGCTTCATCATTACTTATGTTGCCTCGTTCAGTGTGCGAAGTAGAGTATCTTGAACCAGCGTCACCACCAATGAAGGAAGGCGTGGGACGGGTTGATTTTACCCCCTGAATGCTTTTATTTTCGAGTTCGATCTGGAAGAGGGTAAACTATACATCTGGACTGTGTTCTATGAAACTGGGAACAACCAAACTAAGCATGTCCACCCTGTGAAACGACTCAGCTGCAACTTTCAAGTTGTGTATAGATATCGAACCATTAAAGTAAGGTAAGGAACATAAGTAAATGTGCTAAATTGAGAAAAAGAAACGGACTCACCAAAAAACGAATGATTACTTTTTTTGCTTCGCGCATGCAAATCTGGGTGACCAACTCATGCGACTAGTAAATACCAGTCCAAGAGGATGCGAGTAATCGAGCGCAAGTATCAGAAGGCATATAAATTCGGGCACGGCAGACTATATTCGAGGGGCTACAAAAGATGTGGACAGATGAAGCGAGACAGGAGCGAACGTTAGTGTCATGCCTCACAGTGCACACAAGTGTTGAGCCGGTGGTAGGCAAATATGGCCGTAGGGTCGGCGTTAAAACAAAAACCAATGCTTGTGCGTAGAATTATGAGAAACATCTTTTGGGTTGCTACACCTTGCATCTCTGATGCGCGACTACTTTTGGTATCCACAGTGCAATTAGATTACCTTCGCTTCTTCAGCAATTTTACAATGCGTTTCTTGGAAGTCACCATTTAACCTTTCAGCCCCGACTACGCCCCTCTAAATCGATTAGCTAGTCTAGTTTACAGGCTTGCCGATAGCTTCCGTCTTCATGTGTTTCATTCCAGTGTTTCCTTTTCGTTTGTTGATGTTTCAGGTCAGGTACTCAGTGACAGCAAAATGCGGTAACCACAAGGGATCGCGTTGGCGCATTCCATTTCCCCTATTTGAGTTGGGCTACACTACCCACTGAAATGTTTGCTATGCATCCTGGTAGCCGATCGGGCTCTTACATTCTTTCCGTTGCTTGCTTTCTCTATCCATCAGTTCTACTCATTTTTAGTCCCACTTTTGGTTAACTTTCTGTCCCACGTTCGAATTGCAAATAAGTGCGAAGTCATTTGTGAAGTGCACTCTTGCGATCAGGCAACGCTTAACGTCCATGTGCTCTGCATGCCGTCCAGGTAAACCACTTACCCAGAGTTCACTTCAAAGGGAATCGCGTCTCGCTATCCATTCACACTAGTGCTCCAAAAGACCCTCGCTTTGATTTCTCTCTACTTGCATTTTGTTCTTCCTTTCCCACCGTCGTTAGACGTTTTCACATTAGTTGTGCAAGCTAGGTTAAGTACTAACACTAATCTTTATTACTCGATCCACAGTTGTCGAACTAAGTTACCTGGTTCTCCGCACCGTACCCTCTTCATTTTATTTGGCCTGTGTCATTGACTGTCGGCCTCACACCATCAATTTTACACTTATCATCTAGTTTTAACTCGTCGAGATATGCTGCAGTTAGATTACAATCTACGATGGGTTGCCATTGTTCCCATGGATCAGCGGCATTAGCTGCTGTCTACTTTGCTTCAAGCTGCTAGCGGTCATGGGTTCAGTTTCCTGAAGGCGACCGAAGGAATACGCACCACTGACGGGCCTCAGTATGGCGAAACGATCGTCCCATGCTTTCCCGGATTAGTGTTACGTTTCTGATTTTGTAGTCTACTTGCGATGTACTAATTTGATATCCTGTGGTTGTCACTTCCTCCCGTATCTCCGGTTGACCAACACGATAGAGGTGTCTTTTTCTGTACATAATGACCATTCGGAAGGCTGCCAATGCAACTTCATCCACCAATTTGATAACTACCATGGCTCGCATTTAGTTTCTTTTTCTTCTGCACACGTTCCTTGACTGTTTATTACGAAAGCTACTTGCATGCATACAGTCGGAATCGTCGCCTTGATCTTCTCCATCGACATCGGTTCCGTCTTCGCGTTTATGCTCGGTCTTCTTCCTACAGCTTCCGCATTTGTTGTCGAGTGTATTAGTGTTGTGGAGCTTTTCTCCGCTGCGCGAAAATCAAGTGGATTGACTCTGGTGTATTGACATTGAGGGAACCTCTATTCTCCACCACCTTATGCCTTATGAAGCGTCCATCTGTGTTTTTGTTATTCCTTTATTTTTGTGGAGTTTGTTTTCTTTTTATATCACGTATTGTTTTAATCCATTTGCTATGCTATTCACTTGTGGTTGTGTAGTCGTACACGCTTACTGGTTTCGGTCCTGACACTCTTTTCTCTCGTTCCACCAGATCATACATTTTGAGAGATGAGAAACCGCATTCCAATCCATAACATCGCCAATAAAATCAGGGGGTGTGTTGTATGGAAAGACGGAGTAGTAGTCTATATCGAATCGACTTTTGATAGTCACTTAAACGAACCCCGTGCAGCTTTATCTGTGTCGAACTATGCACATAAATTTTGAAGACTGCATTTATCATGGACACGAAAGCAAACGCTTAACAATTTAAATACATTTTTTATTCTCCACTACGCGATGCACGCCTGCACAGGCATGATCATAGTAAGAGTACAACAAGTGATCAAGTAATGTACAGTAGTGTAACAAGATTGTTATAAATGTGGATCCATAAACGTGTGTATGTATGCGTGCAGATGGCGCTTCCACATACATGTGAGTTCTCGCTTCCCTCTTTGACCGGCTCTGGCGTACCTTTTTGACACGAATAGCCTGTACTTAATATAAAAGACGGCATTTACAGCACACACCAACGATAAGTCGTCACTGTCCCACTGTGTTTTTACTTGTAACGTTATCAATGTTATTAACCTCATACTGCTCATCTTGTTAATAAATTCTCCATGGTGGCGTCTATTCTGTTTGCACCACGAGTGGACCAACACGGCTCTGCTGACACTTCATTTCATGCATCTCTACTTGTATTCGCACATGTTCTTGCATTTCACGCATTTAATATCGTTTTGTACCATCTCTTTCTTTGTAGCTCTTAAACCAGTTCCTGGATTTCTTGCTAACACTACACACGCAATTCTCATACTGCTACTGAGTATGCGAAGTCCACTGCAAAATAATATCACCCTGGGCCGACGTAGTTCGTCGCACAATATTGGTTTAGGTGTCACCTCATTTCTCACACACTGTATGGTGCCTAAGCGATAGTTACCAATCACTGATAACCTGCTTCTTCCCGGGTTCCATAGCACTCCACATTGCTCCGTCCCTGTCCCCATCTCGCCCCAAACAATTTTTTCGCCCCAACCCCCGAACGAGACAAATCCACCCATATCTCCGCCATCGACATCAATAGCCACACGTGGTCACAGGCCAGCGCGCCGAGCACTCAAGATTTGATGCTGGAATATGCGCACACTGCACGATCGGGACACTAATGATAGACCTACGCGACGAACCGCATTAGTTGCCATGGTGCTTGCGCGGTATAACATTGATATCGCAGCGCTAAGTGAGACCCGACTGGCAGATCAAGGTGGTGCTGGGTGCACTTTCTACTGGATTGGAAATCCCGCCGCAGCACCATCAGAACATGGTGTCGGGTTTGCAATTGCTGACCGCCTGAATGGCCGCTTGGTGAGGGAGTCGATTACTATCGGCCCTCGGTTGATGTCGCTTCATGTATGCCTCAGACATGGTAAGTTCCCAACCTTTATTAGCACCTATTGTCCCACCATGAGTTATCCGGATGACAGGAAAGACCAGTTCTACTCACAATTGGCCTCTGTTATAAGGTCTGTGCCAATGAGTGACCGACTCTGCCTGCTAGGTGACTTCATGCACTTGTAGGGCGTGATGCCACAGTGTGGGTTGAGGTGATTGGGCCGCACGGGATTAGGGTAGTCAATGGAAACAGAGGGCGTTTGCTTTCATTGTGTGCCACACATGGCTTGACGATCACGAACACACAGTTCGCTCTGTGTGCTAGTGACATTGTTACATGGACCCACCCACGGAGTGGTCATACTCACTTGCTGGACTACGTCAACGGCGCATGCGTAAAGTGCGCATAACGTGGGTACTGCGTAGAGCTGTACGGGGGACTGATCATAAGCTGATGCGCACAAAATTCCACCTAAATGTCTACAAATCCTCGTACTTTCCATCACGTACCAATCGGAGGAAATACAACGTCCGCGTAGAGAAAAGCCAAGCACTGGAGGATGCCATCACAACCCGCCACGGTGAAGACGACTCATCGGCTTCTGTCAGCGTTCTATGGGACCAACTGAAGAAACAGGTGACTATTGGTAAGGACGAGACGATTAGGTGTACAAACTGTAAGCCACCCGACTGGTTTGACGAAAACAGTATGACGACTGGGCCGTTTGTACGAGCGAAAAACACAGCGTTCATCGCATCCGAGGTTGATCCTAACAACGCGATAAAGAGCAATACTTTTCGCTACCTTCGAAGGCAGCTAGCTGTAGAGCTGCGTCATCTGCAAAATGCCTGATGGACAATAAAAGCTGAGCGGATGGAGTCCTACGCTGAACACCGTCGACAAAAAGACCTACTACTACTCCTTGAAGGTGGTATACTGGCCCACCGTGCAGTAAATGCAGACCCTGAAGGAGTTTGGCACTGGCCCGTATATACACAATCTGATGATGCTAGATATGGCACAGATACTTTGACACCCTCCTGAACAATCGATCCGAGGTTGACTGGGACACAGTGCACGGGCTGCAACGCCACAGCATACTATCCGAACTTGAAGACACACCGGGAATGTACGAAACACAGAGCGCTTGTCTAACTACGAAATGGGAAATGCGCAGGTGCTGCTAGCATACTTCCGGAGATACTGAAAAACGGAAGACCAGTTATGATGTGCGCACTCCATCGTTTGGTGAAAGCCGTCTGGATGAAAGATCAAGTACCTGCAGAGTTAAAAGATGCTCTTTTGATTCCACTGTACAAGGGAAAGGGTAGTAAGCAATACACTAACAATTATCGTGGCATCAAGTTACTTAGCTGTGTCGGGAAGACTTTTGCGCTCATCCTACTCAATCACCTTGTGACATACTGGAACCAAACGTAGCTGAGGAACAGTATGGATTCCGCTCGGGCCGAAGCACCATCGACATGGTGTTCGCAACAGATCAACTAGAGGGAAAATGTCGCAAACGCAATCAATCGTTGTATTCGCTCTTCGTCGACTTCATCAAAGCGTTCGATGCGCTGAACCCTGAAGCATTGTGGCTGATTCTCTCAGTTTATTCGTCTAATTGAATGCCTGCATACTGACGTGCGAGCAAAGGTGCAAGTGAGGGGACAGACTTCAGATGACTTTGCCGTTATCTCCGGTGTGAAGCAAGGATACGTCTTAGCCCCCACACTGTTCAATATCTATCTGATTGCTGTGACGACGTGTGCCTTCAACACGTGTGAATACGGTGTGCATTTGGAGCACCGCATGGATGGGAGTTTGCTTAACCTCCGCCGTTTTGGAGCAAGAAGCCTAGTCCGTGAGACAACCATCCGGATGCTTGTTTGCTGACGACTTTGAGTTCTTTGCACATACCGAGGAAGATCTGCAATGCATGGCGACTGCATTAGATTCTACGGCGACCAAGTTCGGACTCAGCATAAACAAAGTCAAGACTATTCTTATTTCACATTACACCGGGAGTGGAGCATATCTTCAAGCCAGAAATACGGATTTCAGGTGAAGTACTACAGGACAGGTCAGCATTGTGCTACCTCGGTAGCACGTTTTCAACCGACCTGCGGATCACCGACGAACGTCACACTCGTGTAGCGAAGTCGAGTGCGGCTTTTAGGAAACTGGAACATCGCATGTTGAAGAAACATCATCTCACTGTTAGAACCAAGATGATGGTGTACAAATCCATGGTTCTCTCGGTCCTTATCTATGGATCGGAAACGTGGACACTGTACAGAAAGGATATCCGATTTCTGGAACGATTTTATCAACCGTGTGTTCGCCGGATTCTGCACATCCACTGGTGGGACAATGTGCCGGACATTGATGTGGTCCGCCGGAGTGAAGTGTACACCATGGACTGCATACTATGCTGCGACATTTCCGTTGGCTTGGACATGTGCGCCGTATGGATGCAACGAGAATCCCAAGGCAACTACTGTATGATCAACTGAGCGCAGGCGGCCGGTATGCAAGCAAAGCAAAGTTGTTCTACCAAGACGATATCAAGGTTAGTTTGGCCCGAGTAAGTATTGACCTAAGGGGTTGGGAGATGACAACGAATCGTCGCACATGGCGTGATCTCCTACGTGTGCCGTTGCCCAGGCTAAAGAAAGATATCGATGCATCGGGAAATTAAACGTGCAGCACGCAAACATCAGCTGCCGGTGGACTACAATTCTTCGGCTACTCCACATGGAGCTGTAATGCATGTGGCCGTGTGTGCCGTAGCCCAGCCGGTCTGGCCAGTCATCAACGAGGCCACGATGGGGCTATGCGAAACAGGTCGACTGTGAGACCGAGCACCACGGACTGACATGTAGCTCTTGGTGATAAGCAACTGAGAAGGGATGGTGTACGTTAAATCTACCAAATATTATTGAGCAATCTGAGTCAGAACGGAATCCCCGCTCTCACGCAACATCGGACAGGAGGACTTTTGCACTGATACTGCACTAATTCATCGAGTGTTGCAGCGCGGCGAGAATCACCCATAGTTTCTGCAAAGACGCAGACGATCTGTATTTGCCCTACTGGTAATCCGAACACAGATGTCCACATACGAGTGCCCCTATCCTGAGGTTTGATGTTGCATATACCATGCTTCTTCACCACAGTTGGGCTACACTTACTTGCCTTCTCTTACCGTATCTTAGCATTAACATAGTCTCCAAACACTTACCTATTACAGTACCAAAAGCAACGCTTCCTCGATTTGGTGGCAAATGTGCAATCTGATAGACACGTCCAAGTTGGACCATGCATCCAAAGGTAAATCGCTCCGGAACATCCGTGGAAAGTGAACAGTCCCGGCAAGTAACTGACTAGCGATTAACATGTTGATGTTGAGGTTTCATTCTCTCAATGTTATTCGCTAGAGTGATTAGAGCTGTAATTTCCGTTCTTCATCCGCCAACCTTAACTTAGCTGAGCTTATGAAAATCACTTGACTCCAGTGCACCATTTCCCTGCAAACTCGAAAAGTTGCATACTCATGCTCCTTCATCTTCTTTGTATCATCTTTATTCTATTGCTAATGTAAGTCTCGCTTGGGTACAGTTTCGCTCTAGAATGATTAACTACTGACTTGGTGCAATGCAGTGTCTTTATTGCGCCTGTCTAAGTGACACCTACTAGAAGTTGCATTTGACATAACCAATCTTCTAGTTAGACTAAGAAGGAGATAATGCCAGCGGTAATTCTATGTCAGTGTCAATATATTACATCGGAGAATAATCGGTGCATATCGACAATTGTTCATTCTAAGAGCAGTGAATGGCTGCATCCGAGACGTACGA